TCGCAACAGCGTGTACAGTGGCATGCTCGATCGGTCCCCGAGGACGATGTCCATAGTAGGACCCCGGTCTTGGACGGCGTAAAATGTCGATTTTCTCGGCGAGCGCGAGAATCTCGTTGAAGTTCGAGAGCCCGCGTAGCATGATTTCGTGCGAGATGTCCGGCTTCAGCCCTCCGACGTAACGGTCCACCCGCTCCGCTTCGTGCATGTAGCCGACTTGCTCGCATAATGCGAGAAAACCACTCGTATAGTCTTGAACCGATCCAAGCTGCCGCCAAGTGCGCAATCTCTGACGCGCCGAAATAGAAGCCGCGATCGGCTCGAAGCGAGCCCGAAGCCCTGCGCACCACGCATCCCACGTGGTGTATTGGGCGGTCTCGCAGAATGAACTCCAGGTGACAGCTGGGCCCGTGGGCCCTTCCTCTTGCGATGGTGGCTCGTAGGCGCGTGGCGACGTCACGATGACTCGCCACCAGTCCATGGCGGGGCCCCTTAGCAGCGAAACGGCATACCGAATCTTCGCTGCATCCGACTCGACGTAATTCGCGTCGAAGAAGACGTTCATCGTGAAGACCCACGATTGAACCGTCGGACCTCCACGCTGGCTCGAGTCGAAGCAGGGCGGGCGTTGCGGCTTGAGTGACATTGGTGCCATAATGGTCTGTTCGCCACTTGTCTCCGCGAACTCCACGTGTCGTCGGGCTTCGCGAGGCTCCCGCGGGCTTGGTGCAACCCTGTTTCCTCCCATGCCAGGCATCGGCTGGGCGGCGCCATCGCTGGCTGCGCCTGAGCGCTGTCTTACGCTGTTGTTATGTGTTGGTGTGCCGGACGAGATGACGATCGGCTCGTCTGATTGTGCAGATGCATTTGTCGGTGCGTGTGGTGGCGCTTGAGTGTTCATCGTTGAATGCTGACGCGCGGAGTCACGTTCCGCCGTGAGCGTCGCAATTTCGAGCGCCGAATCTTCAAGTTGGCGCACCAGACGGTCGAGCTGCTCCTGCGTCAATGTGGCGAGCGTGAATTCGGCCATGGCGGGGGTGTCGGGCGAGCTCAGCGAGAGCCTCGGTCGTGGCCGTGCGTGCTGTTAAAGTTTAGAAGAAAGAAGGGGGATGCACTAGCAAGAATGGGGATACAAATAGCAAAACCCTAGAAGAGTTGTACTCGCTATAGAGCACCCCACTACAGGCTAGAGCATAATATTCTGACACACCCCCATAGCCAAAGTGGGGTGTAATCAGCAGAGCAAGCAAAAGAAAACAAGCTCAGGGTGGATCACAATGTCACCACACATTCTGAGCACAAGTACAAGAGGTAGCAGTTTTATAGTTAACAAATGTAAGCAAAGCTAGAGGCTATCACAGAGGGCAAGTGAGGAGGAGGAGAGACTGTGGGGGAGAGAAGATGGGAGGCGACTGCTGACGCTGCAGACACACAGACGAGCTGCTGGCTCAGTGGCTACCGGAACAGCGCTCCGGACTACTGGGGTAACTGGCCCCGCGGCTAAAAGTAGCGGCAGACGAGCAACGGACCCACGGGCGACTGGCGACTACCGGAGATTGTAGCCTCCGGACTGCTGCTGCTGCTGACGACACGACGACCGCCTCCATTCAACCTCCCCCAACTGTCCCACCCCCATTTCACACACCCCCTGTTCAAACCCTAGCTCTACTCACACTCCACCCCCCTAGCACCACACCGTACACTCCCACACATCCACCCCCCTCAGCGACAGCTGCAGCAGTGGGAGACGAAGGAGGAGGAGGAGCAGGCGACGCCACACACCCGCCACCCCCCAACCGCCACCCCCCAACCGCCACCCCCCAAACCCTAAAAACAGGGTAGGGAGGTAGGGGGGGGGGGGGCAACGCGCGGCCCCCTGTAGACTCCCCCCCCAGGGCGCCGCGACGGGCGACGGGAGTTGGGCCGGGGCAGGTCGGGGCCGGGGCAGGTCCGGGACGGGGCGGGGCAGCAGGGGCCGCGCAAGGCTCCCCTGGGCAGCGCGACGGGGCAGCAGGGCCGCGCGACGGGGCAGCAGGGGCCGCGCGCGGCTCCCCTAGGCGGCGCGACGGGGCTGCAGGGGCCGCGCGACGGGGCGACGTGCGGGTCCCCGTCGCCCGTCGCAGCGCCTCCCGGGGGCGACGCGGCGAGTGACGGGGCAGAAACCCGTCGCGCGCCTCGGGGCGCACGGCGGGCAGAAAACCGCCGCGCGCCTCGGGGCGCACGGCGGGCAGAAAACCGCCGCGCGCCTCGGGGCGCACGGCGGGCAGAAAACCGCCGCGCGCCTCGGGGCGCACGGCGGGAAGAAAAACTGCCGCACGCCACAGGGCGTGCGGCACAGAGAGTAGCAGTAGCAGTTGCAGCGGAAGCAACAAGGTGGTGAGCCCACCCACAGGATCGATCCAAGGGGATCGACCTGCTCTGATAGAATGTTAAAGTTTAGAAGAAAGAAGGGGGATGCACTAGCAAGAATGGGGATACAAATACCAAAACCCTAGAAGAGTTGTACTCGCTATAGAGCACCCCACTACAGGCTAGAGCATAATATTCTGACACGTGCTTACGAGAGAGCACTACGAGCGGCGGTGCTGTGTCGCTGAGAGACGTCTACCCCCCCCAAAAAATTGAGATAGTGGGGAAGCGAAGGTGTGGGTGCGGTCCGAGAGGAGATCGTAGGCTCTGATACCAGGTGTTACGAGTGCAATTGAGTGAACGAACGAGAATTGCACTATCGAAGCAAGAGTCCAAATGAGCGAAGGCCAGGGCCTCAGATTCCAGGAATTTTACCCTGATTTCCTGATGTTTGACCCCGGTTTTTTATCGTAACCCTGATGAATCAGCCTTTTTGTTTTTACAACCCTGATGAATCAGTGTTTTTCTTTTCCTATTCCTGATTTTCCAGTGTTTCTAGTTTGTCGACACTGACGAGTCAGTGTTGTATCGGAGACGACCCTGAAACCGAAAACTCCGTGATTCTCGCAGTTTTGCGCGCCGTCATCATGCATGAACCCACCCTGCACCGACGCCACCCTGCGGAGCGCCCAGATACAGTTGAACGGGTTAATTTCGGGCTGTGTTGGCAAAACGGCGTAAAGAGATTGGCTGTCCCAGCTGAAGCAATTGTCAGAATGTTATTCTCTACCCTGTAGTGGGGTGCTCTATAGCGAGTACAACCCATCTAGGGTTTGCTATATGTATCCTCATTGCTGCTAGTGAACCTCTTCTTCTTTTGCCTAAACTTCTCTTGCCTAGCTAGGACTTACCTAGCTATGGCTCCTAACTCTACCTACTATTTTCACATGGTATCAGAGGAGGTCGATCCCCTTGGGTCGATCCTGTGGGTGGGCTCACCACCTCACTGCTTCCGCTGCTACTGCCACTCTCTGTGTCGCACGCCCCGTGGCGTGCGACGGATTTTTCATCCCGCCGCGCGCTCGGAGCGTGCGGCGGTTTTCTGCCCGCCGTGCGCCCCGAGGCGCGCGGCGGTTTTCTGCCCGCCGTGCGCCCCGGGGCGTGCGGCGGTTCTCTGCCCGCCGTGCGCCCCGAGGCGCGCGGCGGCCTTCTGCCCCGTCGGTCCGCGCGTCGCCCCCGGGGGGCGCTTCGACGGGCGACGGGGACCAGCCCGTCGTCCCCCGTCGCCCGTCCTGGCCAGCGCGGGCTGCGCCAGCCCCGAGCGCGGCCCGTACGGGCTGCGCCCGGCCCGCGCGCGGCCCGTACGGGCTGCGCCCGGCCCGCGCGCGGCCCGTACGGGCTGCGCCAGGCCCGCGCGCGGCCCGTACGGGCTGCGCCAGGCCCGCGCGCGGCTCGGGCCGCCTGCGCGCGGTTCGTCGGGCTGTGCCAGGCCCGTGGGCGGCCCGTTCCTCTCTGTCCCTGAGCTGCTCGCTGTCCCCCGTGCTTCTGACGGTGCCCCACCCCTACTGCTGCCCGTTCTCCTGAATTAGGGTTTGGGGGTGAGGAGTGTGGGGGTGGCGGTTGTGTGTTACTCCCCTTGCTCCTCCTCCTCCCTGGTCTCCCACTACTGCAGCTGCCGCTGAGGGGGGTGGGTGTGTGGGAGCCTAGGGTTTAGGGTTTTAGGGGGGTGCGTGGGAGTGGAGCTAGGGTTTGAGCAGTGGGTGTGTGTCGAGGGTGTGGGGCAGTTGGAGGAGGTTGTGTGGAGGTACCTGTCGTGTCGCCTGCAGCGCCTGTAGTCCGTCGCCCTTGCTTCGGTAGCCAGTGAGCCTGCTGCACCAGTCGCCAGTGGGTCCGTTGCTCCTGCCGCTCTTCTATAGACGCCGAGCCAGTTACTCCAGTAGTCCATCGCCCTTGCTTCGGTAGCCTCTGAGTCAGCCGCTCCTGTGCCCGTGCCTCTGCAGCTTCAGTCGTTGCCTCCCATCTTCTCTACCTCCACAGCTCCTCCTCCTCCTCACTTGCCCGCTGTGATTAGCTCTAGCTTTGCTTACCTTTGTGAACTCCTGCTCTATACCTGCTTGCTCATTGTACTGATTACACCCCACTTTGGCTATGGGGGTGTGTCAGAATGTTATTCTCTAGCCTGTAGTGGGGTGCTCTATAGCGAGTACAACCCATCTAGGGTTTGCTATATGTATCCTCATTGCTGCTAGTGAACCTCTTCTTCTTTTGCCTAAACTTCTCTTGCCTAGCTAGGACTTACCTAGCTATGGCTCCTAACCCTACCTACTATTTTCACAGCAATGTACCGTTGTCACGTTGGATAACCTACACTTGTCATTACTTTCCATTGATGTGCACAAACAACCAAGCCTAGTGGCCCAGTGGGCCAGTGGTCTGCCTTGTTCTTTCCACCAAGGCAGGGCGTGCTGGGGCGGCCCGCTCAGGCACCCCACGCAGGGGGTCTCGTGATTCTGCCATTCCAGCTCTCCAGACTCCATCCCTTTCCGAAACATCAATCTCTGCAGTCTCCCTGAAGCCTGCTCGGCAGGCTCTCTCTCTCCCAGGGTTTCTCGTTACTACTCACCGATTCAGGAAGGTGACGTGAACGCGCCATGGCGATCACCGGTGAGAACAGCTGCGGTGATGATGACGACGATGCACTTTACGCCGCCACCGAGATGCTGGAGGCCAGAACGGGACTAGATTTTCTAGTTTCCGTGCTCTCCCATGAAAAAGAGAAGCCAGGTCCCGTCGCCTCAGTAGCAAACACTGGTGAAGCGTCTGGCCTCTGCCGCGGAGACGATCGTCCCCAGCCCGCGCATACTGCTAAGCCGGCCGTGCCGTCAGCAGCCGGACCGAGCGTCCGCTTGCCATCTCGTGCGTCGTCGTCGAAGCCTCCGCCTCGTTACAAGTAGGCCGTGCTTCGTTGGGCCGATCCTACAGATCCTGGACGTCCTCTCGCTGATGACGGCGAGTCGGTAAACCACGTTACGCCCACGCCATTTAACTCTAAAAAACCGTCACTAACCACTCTGATTTACGAAGAGGCCCTTGAAACGTTCAAGTCGACGTGGTCGACCGACTACCCATGGCTCATCCTCATAAAAAACACTGCTGGCATGCCTGCGTTCAAGTGCAGTTTGTGCATCGACTTTGCAGGTGACGGTGGCAAGTGTGGCAAGAGTGGGCTGGGCACGGTGCAACCGATCTTCAGACCCAAGCCTTCAAGCGGCATGCCGCGACGAACAAGCACCAGTTGGCCATCAATCACCTGAAGCAGATGCTAGCTCAGGCTGGGATGCGCGGCTGTCGGACCTCATGTGCATGGCATTGCTGCCGTACGAGCCCGACTGGGCGGAGGTGGTGAAGATCTGGAGGGCGTACAAGAAGCGCAAGCCCATCACAACAGTGGCAGCACCAAAGAAGCAACCTAGTGCTAAGGGGAAAGAGAAGGTGGACGAGGATGCTGCTGGTGGTGCTGGCTCTGGGTGGGGGACAGAGACCCCCGTGCACAGGCACGGTTCTATGAGCGATGGTGGTGGTAGTGACGAAGATGAAGACATGTGTGTGATGTGAATTGTATGTGCGGTGTGAGCGCCAAGTGGTCTGTGCCTGTAGTTAGATTAGAAGCTCATTAGAACCATATTTGAACTTTTCTTAACTTATTATACTTGTGATACCGGTAGTTGTTGTGGATTCTCACCGCCAGTGTTTTTTTAAAACTCACGCTGATGTGTCAGGGTTTTTTTTTTTCTAACCCTGAGAAATCAGTGTTTCTCCATTTACAACCCTGATGATCAGTGTTACAGCCCCAAAGGACCCTGAGTGCTCAGGGTCACCCAAAACGAATCTGAGGCCCTGGCGAAGGCATGAGCGAAGAATATATAGCGAAACTACAGTGGTAACGGTAATGGACTGTGGTTGTCGCGCGACGGGCCTGGGACTGAGGTTGGGAAAAAGTGTCGAAGCGGAGGCCCGGAGCGCGGGTTACCCGCCGAGCCGTGAGGTCGGGGTGCGATGTGCGAAGGTGGCGGGCGGATTGTCGATGCGAGGGTTGCGAGTGGTAACGGTGCTGACTGTGGTGCTACAGTGATGTACGCGTTGAGCAGGGATGCGAAGTAAGGAAAAGGAATTTTCCTTACACCCTCATACGAGGGACTCTTGGTGGTCTTAAAGCCAGCAGCTAAAATAATGACCCCCCCCTTCTAGTTGGGTCCACTTGAAAACAGAAGTTTTTTTGGAACGCTTCGGAAAGTTGGAAGTGCTGTGCATTTCTATTTTTTCACTCCATACGAGTCTCGTTGTGAAAGGGGAACAGTTGGAACAAGTGTTCAATTCTGATTGGTAGCGAAACGCACACGCAACTCACACACACTTCTGTGCGAATTTGGCGCAAGGTTGCAATGCCTGTATTCGGGAGAGCAGTCATCGTAACTTCACCAAAACTCACATCAATCAACAACACAGGCTAAAATCCAGAGCACACACATATCCAGAACATAAGAGTGAAGGTGGGCCGACGACCTGGCAAAGCTGCGAGAAAAGGCGTTTCCTTGGACTCCAAGTCGGACTTGAGGCTGAAAGAGGTTAGACAATAGGGAGTCGAAGAACGAGGAAAAAAAACAAGTGCTACAAGGTATCACCAACGGATAGAACGATTGCGATGGGGAGAGAGAGGAACAACGGGATGGGAGGGGAGAGGAGAGCGAACGACGGGATGGGAGGGGAGAGGAGGCGAACGACGGGATGGGAGGGGAGAGGAGAGCGAACGACGGGATGGGAGGGGAGAGGAGGCGAACGACGGGATGGGAGGGGAGAGCGTAGCGAACGACGGGATGGGAGGGGAGAGGAGGCGAACGACGGGATGGGAGGGGAGAGGAGAGCGAACGACGGGATGGGAGGGGAGAGGAGGCGAACGACGGGATGGGAGGGGAGAGGAGGCGTACGACGGGATGGGAGGGGAGAGGAGGCGAACGACGGGATGGGAGGGGAGAGGAGGCGTACGACGGGATGGGAGGGGAGAGGAGGCGTACGACGGGATGGGAGGGGAGAGGAGGCGATCGACGGGATGGGAGGGGAAAGGAGGAACGTGAGCGATAGGAGATGAAGTGGGCGACGGTATAGGAGGGGAGATTGCAAGGGCGACAGGAGGGAGAGCGCGAAGGTGACGGGAGGGAGAGCGCTACGGCGACAGGAGGGAAAGCGCAGGCGATGGGAGGGAAAGCGCGCATGCGACGTTTGTGAAAGAGCGCGAAGGTGACGGGAAAAATGAAGAGAGGGGAGGGAGGAAGGGCGGGGGGAGGGCGTTTCAGACCAAGAGCATAGGCGACGGTGTGTGATGGGAGGGGAGAGATGAAAGGCGATGGAAGGGGGCATTTCGGCGACGACAGCATGAGCGAGGGGAGAAAGAGAGGGCGACGAGGAGGGAGGAGAGGACCCGCGAAGGTGATGGGAGGGGAGCGGACAGCGGACGAACGACTGGAGGGAGGGGAGATGGCGAAGGCGCGATACAGGAAACTAGCACCTGCGGAAGGGTAACGATCGCCTGCGGAATGGATTAAAATTACGACACTACGCTACGTAACAGTCTTACGCATTCCTGCAGGGTCGAGTAGTTACTTATCTTGGCCACAAACACCTATCGTTGTCAGCTAAATTAGGCTATGAAGAAAACTAGTGACTTCGGGATGGAGAGCAGATAGTCATGTAACCCAGTTCCATCTTGAAAAGCAATGTTGGGCTGGCGATCGAAACCATCGCTTGGCAAGAGTCGTGCAGGTGTAGCACGAAGCATGCGACGGAGGAGATCCGCAAGCGAAAAAAAATAGGCGGGAACATGGGGAATCAAGAATGGCGACAGCCAATCACATTTGTTCACAGTGCTACTCGTTTTGTTTGGAACAGTGCTCTATCGGCCCGTTTTCGGCAGGACCCTTTCAAGATAAGACGGGGTTCTGTAAGGAATTTTCTCGGCATTCCTTGCGGAGCCCGACTACATCGCGTACAGCAACAGCCGTTGTTCGCCCGTTACTGCTAACGGGACTTCGCCGACCTCGCGCGCACTGTTTTGCCAAACCTCACACTGCTGGCCCGGCCGTGTCGGCCTACGCTTTGGGACTAGCCCGAGCCTCGCTGCCAGCGTAGCACTAGCTAGCTCGCACGCACCGCGTTACCGTTTGCATGTTTCACGTATAAATGTTCGCTCATGCCTTCGCTCACATCTTTGTACTCGTTTGACACCTTAGTGCAATTCTCGCTACTTCGTTTCATTGCACCCGTAACACTTGGTATTCAGAGCCCCTTTCTTTCGGACCGCGCATCTCCGCACCCCAGGAAATCAACTTTTGATTTTTCACTCGAAGGGACTTACGCACCTTAGCACCTAGGAGCCGCTGTCCTCGCGTTCTCTCGTAAACGCGTGCAGCCACGACTGCGCATAGACTAAGACGAGCCGACACCCTTCAAAATGGCTGAGCACATCGATATCACGACTCTCACGCAGGAGCACTTGAACGATCTGCTGCGACAAATCCGCGAGAGCGCCGAGGAAATCGCGACGCTGACGGCAGAACGCTCGTCCCTGCAAAATGTGATAGAATAGAAACGAGTATGATGGACTAAGGGAAAGTTGGGTACAAATGTAAACCCTAGAAAACTGTACCCCATATGTGCTACCCCACTATAGCCTACAGTAGCTATGTCATATAAATCTGACACACCCCCATAGGCAAAGTGGGGGAGAACAAGGGGTCACAAGACCAGTCAAGCATAGCAAAGCAAGCTCAGGGTGGATCACAAAGTCACCACACATTCCGAGCACAAGTTCAAGGCCACAAGGCCAGTTCACATGCAGGATTACATATATATATAAGGCTAGACAAGCAAGAGCAGGTGTATATATATATATGCAACAGTACAAACAAGGTCAAGGGGTGAGCAAGTGAGTCAAGGTAGGCACAAGACCCAGCTGAGTACAGAAGCGCTGATGATCACAAGGCGCAAGTGCCTTGGTGAAGATATCAGCAGTGTTGGCCTCAGAGGCCACGTACGCAAGCCGCAGCTGACCACGCTGCTGTAGCTCACGAGCAAGGAAGTAGCGGAGAGCAATGTGCTTCGTTCTGTGCTCCAGTCTCTGCTCTCGACACAAGGCCAGCATGGCCTTGTTGTCTACGTACAGCACTGGAGGAGAACGAGGCGGCTCTCCAAGGTCAGTCAGCAGGTAGGTGAGCCAGCGAAGCTCCTGTGCAGCCATGGCCCCGGCGTAGATCTCAGCCTCACAACTGGAGCCGAGAACAGAAGACGAGCGGGTAGCCCGCCACGAAATAGAGCCGGAACCAAGGCTGAAGGTGTAACCCTGTGACGACCGCTGCGTAGCCTGGTCGTCAGCCCAAGAAGCGTCTGTGTGCCCAGTGAGGACCACTGGACTCTGCCCTCCAAGCACAAGCCCCATGCCCGACGTACTGCACAAGTAACGCAACACCCTCTTCGTTGCAGCCATGTGCTCCGGTCAGTGTCTCCCAGGAGCAACATAGCGTGCGAGAATGCTAAGAGGGTATGCGAGGTCAGGTCGTGTGCAGGTCATCAGGTACATGAGGCAGCCAACAAGCTCTGGGTACGGGCCACTCGACTCTACGGACTCATCCGAAGGCAGAGCTGAGAGCGAGTGGCGAGTAGGCAGAGGAGTGGCCTGAGGCGAGGAGTACGTGAAGCCGAAGCGCTGAAGGACCTGCTGCACCATGTGTGACTGAGTCAGGGTAATGGTGCGGCGTGCTCTGTCCCGGGTGATCTGCAAGCCAAGGTAGCTGCGCAGTTCACCCAGGTCTGTGCACGTGTGTCTCTTCTGCAGCTCGGACTTCACGTGGGCGAGTCCAGCAGTGTCAGCTGTGGCAAAGACCAAGTCGTCGACGTACACGAGGATGTAGAACGGCGGCAAAGAAGTGTCGGTGCGCAGAAACAGCGACGGGTCGGCAGTAGAGGGAGCAAACCCAAGAGCCGCAAGTGTAGTCCTCAGTGTGTCGTGCCACTCACGCGGTGCCTGGCGGAGACCGTAGACTGGCCGCCGGAGGCTCCACTGGGTGCCAGGAGGAAAAGACCCAGTGAAGCCAGGTGGGCGACGCAGCCAGATCTCCTCGTGCAGGCTGCCCTGCAAGAAAGCAGTGCTGAAGTCAAGAGAGTGCAGCTTGTAGTCGCGGTGAGCAGCTATGTGCAGCAGTACCCGAAGAGTGGTCATCTTCGGGGTGGGAGAGAAGGTCTGAAAGTAGTCAACTCCCTGCCGCTGACTGAAGCCACGAGCCACGTAACGTGCCTTGATGACAGGCGGAGAACCCGGCGGTCGCTTCACCCTGAAAATCCACATGCCACTGACGATGTTCGCCCCAGGCGGGGGAACCTCGTCAACGTAGGTGCCTGTGGACTTCCAGGAAGCCATCTCTGTGTCCATCTCTATGACCTCACACGAGCACAACAGGCACAATCTCAAGCACCTGGCACTCCGGAACAGCCCGCACCACAGGCATCACAACACGGAAGCGTGGGGCAACCCGCGAGCGCGGCCAGTGATGGCGTCGTCCGCCCCG